CAACTGGAGCAACTACATGGAAAACTTTAAAATCCATGCTCTTATTTTGAAGGGAAGATAGTTTCCTGTTCTCCGTGCTTTCGTTTCCCGTCACAAATCAAATCCGTCATGTACCCAGAATGCATCGCTTCAGTTTTCCAATAAACAGTTTTAAAATTACTTTATTAAATCAATTAATGAAAAATCTACAACAAACTAAAGAAAGGGACAAAGAAGCAGCCGAACTAGCAATCCTCAACAATTTTTTAATTTTTACACCATGAGCCAAACGTCTGTTTCAGGAAATCACATCCCCAGTATTTGGTGCTTATAGGATTAAGCTGTACAAGGGTTCATAAACCACTAGTTGGCAGTGTTGTACATATATTGTACATGAACTGTTGCCAGCTAGTTAAGTGTCAAATTGAACTTGCGGTTTAAAATTAGCTTCCGCTATTTTTTCTAAGGCATAAGCGTTTTTGATGTTGTGGACCTAAATATTTTCATAAGCGCTTTGGAAATTGCGGAGCTAAATTTTGGATTAGCGCTGCCCACCACTGGGTATTAGTGTGTAGCACGTGTGTGTACGCTCATACAGTGAAGCTCTGGGTCCAGCTTGCGCAGGTTGGGTGGAACGGTGGTGATGAGGATCTTGACAGTAGCATCAGCTGAGCTGATCTCAAACCCCGTCTCATTGGTCAGCATGGACAGAACTGAGAACAGTCAAACAGAAACAACCTAATCAGCTGCAGGAATCACCTGGTTGGTAGAAGTTTAGGGTTGATTTAAAACATCCTGAGCAACAGACTGCAAAACATACATTTCTGTAATATCTGATCATAATCCAGGTTTTAGGGGAATTCTTTTAATCCCTCAATAAATTCAAAGCAGACATTTAATCATGAAAACCTACCTTCTGTGGGGTCCACGGTGCGAAGAGTCTCCACTACTTTGTTACCAAGTGCAGCAACTGCTTCCACTGTTAAAAAACATTAAAATTACAAAATGCTCCTTAATACTTTTTATAGTTTTATTAATAAAATCTGATATTGTCAGAAGAATGAAGAGAAAATATTAAACAAGAAATCAGCTGAGCTGTAATCGACTTCCTCACAAAATAATATTTTATTGATAAATTTTACCACACATCAAAACGCACATGGATTTGCAGTTAAAGTGACAAAATACTAAATTATTTTAAAAATGAGCATAAAAAGGAGGTTGGACATTGTGCTTTGATGTGATTTGATGGAGGGTATCGCAGCATCTTCTGGTTCTGATCTGAATGATGCATTTTTATACAAATTCAAATTTATGCAAGTGGTGAAGAATAGCTCTTTAAAGAACAAAAAAAGGTCAATATATTCAAATAATCAGATTATAACTTCATCAGAACCACTTCAGATATTTAATCCTTCAGTTTACTGACCAACATCCCAATAAACACTTGTTTACTGTAAACAAGGGACAAAAATAAAACAAACTGAACGTGTAACTAGACCTAATGACAGAAAGATGAAGTCTGAATTAAAGTAATTAAAATCTTGAAGCAGACAAACATACAATTTAAAACCTCTTGTTCTAAAGGTTCATTAACTACAGTGATCTGAGCAAAACCATGAAAGCCACAGAACATTCCAGTAAAACCTGTTTAATCAGACATGACTTACATGTAGGGAGGATTTTGAGGATGACAACAAGGTCAGCAACGTTGTGTCCTGTGGTCATGGTGCCCTTCTTGTATGAACCCACCTGACGGACCTCTTCAATTTGCTTTCAACAGGAAAAATATCATTATTGTTGTGTGGCTGCAATACGTCATGATTTTTTAATAGATTAAATTTGGAATCAACTTTTTTTGTTAGTTTCAATCACCCTCCTCCAGGCTCAGAAAATTGTTCTCTTTGACAGAAAACAGATTAAAGTTCAAACATGAACAGTAGGGCTGCAACAACGAACCGATAAAATCAATAAAAATCGATTATTAAAAGCGTCGGCAACGAGTTTCATTATCGATTTGTTGTGTCGCGCGATTTATGAGTCCTTCACCGTGTCGCGGAGCCGATTACGTCACCCGCAGAGCGTTGTCAATGTCAGCTGACCTTAATAAAGTTTAGAAGAAAAAAACTCAACCTGTAAAGCTCCGCCCTCTCTGACTCTTGAGTGAAAAGCAGAGACTTCAAACTTTAAACCAGTTTTAAATTGTGTTGTTAGGCCAAGTAGATCCGAAGATATGATAAACAGTATATGCCACATTTTATTTTTTTAAAAGACGGTCTGATTTGATGCGCACCGTGTCGCGAGGAGGAAACACGTCCTGTGGAGAAAAAAGGTACCTCAGTCGACCATTTGTTTCCTCCTCTCAGACCAGAAATATAAAACCATCGTCTTTTTTTTTTTGACTGAGGCTCAAAGTTATTTGATAAACAGCAAAAAGATTCAGGACGAAGAAAGAAAAGAAAAACAAAGACGCAGCAGAACTCCTGGTCTGACTCAGTAGGGGAGGGGGGGCTGCTTCAAAACCGGGTCAATCAGTCAGACAGAACCAGAAGGAAGCAAAACGTAATTAATTAGAGAAAAATCATAAATTCTAAATGTAAATAAATTATAATTATAATAAATAGTTTTGCATCTAAAAATCATATTTTATTAGTTTTATCTGTTTTCCTCATTCAGCAACCTGTTAAATTTCTGTTTTGTTATGTTTTATAGCTATAACCAAGTTTATTATTGAATGAGAAATCCACATTTTTGGGTTTATTTTTTTCCAGTCAGTGTTTAATACAGCTGCAAAATCAGTTGTGAAAATATTTATGATGTGCTTCTTTTTTTAATTTAGCATATTATTTAAAAAAATCCTTCATTTTATGAAAAGACCATCTTGATTCAATACAAAACTCTGGATTTTAAGAAAATGGCTGCTTATTAACTAACTGTTAGTCAATAAGATAAATCAACTTCAGATTAATTTATTAATCGATAACTTGCATCCCTAATTTATACAGGAATTAAATGAATTTATTTCTACCGTATTTTTCGGACTATAAGCCACGACTTTTTTCCTGAACTTTGAACCATGCGGCTTATAGTCCGGTGCGGCTTATACGTGGATTTTTTTCTTCAGCCACCAGGGGGCTCTTATGCTCCATTTGCTTCAACCACTCGCTTCAAAAAAAGAAAGGAAAAAAAAAGAAAAAAGCGATCCTTCCAGAGCCGACTGTTGTACCAGGAAGCAGCGATTTAAAGATAGTCAATGGCCAAAAACTCATAAAAGGGGATAAAACAGACATTTTTCACGGTGGAATCTGACTGATAAAAACTTTGGAGCTTAATCCAGGACCAGTTTGTGGATAAACGTCGAGTGAAGAGCTGCTGACTTATTTTTCGGTATTGCACTCTCTGGGGAAGGAATCCCATGCAGTGACGTATGCTGGAGCGGGAGGGCTTTCCCAGCACAGCTTCAGAGCCAGCATTACCTAATTTCCCTCTGGGATCAATAAAGTATTTTTGAATTGAATCTGAATTGAATTGAATTACCCCGGGAGGACAGCGACACAGAAAGCAACACTGAACAGATACCACTGTGTGACGCAGCTTTTCTCAGCTTGTTTAACTCCGACACTGAAGAGGAGGATTTCAATGTTTTCAGTGCGCCGGAGGAAGATGAATGAGACGTTTTGTTGGACCAGAAACTGTTAAAGAAAACTACCAAAATAAGGTCAGTTAAATGAACCGTATTCCTCCGAACTTTAATTCCTAAAGGTTTGCTTTTTATGTTTTGATGTTGAATTCACTTTTTTGATGGCAAATTTGGGTGTACTGTTTTTATATTGGGGGTGCGGCTTATATGTTAATGTTTGCGGATATTTTTTTAAAAATGGCGGGTGCGGCTTATAGTCCGAAAAATACGGTACTCATATTGATGTAATTAAGTGTTTTAATGATTTGGCCGATTAATCGGAAAAATAATCGACAGATTAATCGATTATTAAAATAATCGTTAGTTGCAGCCCTAAAACAGTTTGTCAGTGATCAAAGCAAAAAGAATAAAAGAACCATGATTATAATAAATAAAATATTGTGTTATTAATAAACTGAAACCAAACGACTGTTACAATAAAATTAATCCGACGCTCTGTGATGTCATTAAGTCTGTTCAGGCGTTTAGCAACGTTAGCTTCGACCTACCACTTCAAAGTTCCCAGGTGCGACTATCAGGTTGTCGATGACGTTGTTGATCTTCGTAACTAAAGACAAGATGGAGGACTACGTGCAGAAGACACAAATAAGCAGAAATGATCAATAAAGTGTCTGAGCTAAATAAAGAGCGGGACGTAAGTGAGGAGATGTGGGCTGACCTGTTCAGCAGGTGTGGGGCTCAAGTCCTGGTTCCTCTTCAGCAGACATTCACTGAAGGTGGACTCATCAGGAGCTGGCTTCACTCGGGGGAACGCCATCTCACACTAATGCAGGACAACAGTTTTATCAGTCCTACTGCTGTGTCCACTGTTCTTCCAGCAAATCACCATATTATTTAAAGAGGACATGATCAACCAGCAGTAACACCAGCCTGATGCTAAAACATAATATATTTATATTTATCCATGAAACCTGATGAATCTAATCAGTTACTTAAACTACAAGCATGTCTTACAGACATAAAAACATAGATGACTCTTAATTTTCTGCTCCTAAACTCAGATAAGACAGAGGTTATGGTTCTTGGATCTGAACATCTTAAGGATCAACTTTGCAGCCTTTCACCTCCTCTGGATGGCATTAATCTGGCCTCCAGTTCTAATGTAAAGAACCTTGGCGTTATTTTTGATCAGGACATGTCTTTTAACCCCCACATTAAAAATGTTACCAGGACCGCCTTCTTCCACCTGTGTAATATCACTAAAATTAGAAAC